GTCTCAGGATGCAGTTTGCAATCAGCTTGAAGGTCGCACCTGGTTTGGAAGTTTCTGGAGGGCGGAGGCGGTGTCGGTAGTTTTTACCTGGGCGCGAATTGAGACCTCCAAACCCCCGAGTCACTGAATGCAGTTTTATTAGGTAAGGTTTGCAGAGAGCGTACCTTGCTCCAGGCACTATGCTAAGCATTTTCTAGCCACTGTCTTTGTGCTACAGCTGCATTTTTAGTGCTATGCACTATTCCCATTTTGAAAAAACAGCGGTTTCTCGAGTTTCATTGAGGAGAAAGGTGACTGGAGCCTATTCCATGCCCCCCACCCCCCACCCCCGTGTGTTCCCATTTCTCCCTCCCGACCAGGATCATGGATGTCGGAAAAAGCATACACACTGAAGAAATACATTTTAAATTACACTGGATAACGTTCCTCTTGTTAAGAATCCATGTCTCTTTCTCCTTACTCACTGGCTCTTACTTAGAATGGCTTCAGACTCCACAGCTACTCCCGTCAGACGTGCAGAGATCATCCTCAATTGTCTATTTTAAAAATGTTTATTGATTTCAGAGAGGAAGCGAGAGGGTGAGAAAGAAACACCAATGATGAGAGAATCATCCATCCGCTGCCTCTTGCACGCCCCCTACCGGAGGTGGAGCCCACAACCCCCGCATGTGCCCTGACAGGGAATCCAATGGTGACCTCCTGGTCGTAGGTCCACGCTCAGCTACTGAGTCACACCGCCGGGCCTCAGTTCTCTTGCTCAGATACAACCATGTCAGAGAAGCTGGAGGGGCCCCCAAATATCCCTCCCTTTTTGGAAAGTAGAAGTTTAAAAAAAAGCCTCCTCTCAGCTCCCTTTCTAGTTCCTGTTAGAAAGTTGGTAGGTTCTTCAATTAGAAACCACCAAGTGAATAAGCGGAAGAACATCATTCCACAGTCGTCATCCACAAATTCTCTCACAGGGAGTCTGACCAGACCACAGTGAATCAAAGAGTCAAAACACTATTAAGTTGTAATAGTAGAAAAAAAAATTTAACAGTCTCGGTAGCTCTTGAAGCTTCACACATAACAAACAAGGAAGATGGTTATTTAAAAAAATATTTATTAATTTTTACACCTGCTGAGTAGCACAAGACTATTAACACTATAACTCACTGAATGTACAATAAATGTTCACATTTAAATAACAGGATAGGGTCAACATTTTCAACCCGGGGGGTCGGCTTTAGCATTACATCAAGTGCTTCTTAGCCCTAAGAGTTTTTTGAAAGGATAATTGGAAATAAAAAAAAACAATTCAAGAATCAAAATAATAGTTTTTTTCCTGTTATCACAGGAATTTTACATGATAAAATGTCTACTATGTGGGCACAAATCAAGCAATAAAAATGTAAAATCTATGTTACTCCAAAATTTACACTGCACTGATTGAAGTCTACAGTGCCAATGTGTCTTAAGAAACAGAACAATATAAACATTGGCTACAAACATTTTCCCCCAAAATTGGGTCTTCAGATGACTTATACTCTGCCATCTCTTCAAATCCAAGTCCTTTTGAAAATTTATTACCTTGGATGGATGTGCGGAATACCTGATCTTAAAGCAGTGTTATTTGGCTTAACTGCCACCTGCATTTCTGGTGGATAATACACAAATTAGTTCTAGAGATTTACTTATTCCACATAAGAACAAAAGGAAGAAAGAAAAAACAAACAAACTTAGATAGGAAATAGACAAAGAGGTCCTTCCACATTTCCTTCTGTGTATTTTAAAACTTGAAATAACTGGTATAAAATGAACATTCCATTTAGCGATAGTTTTCTATGTTAATCAATGTTACTCCTGAGGTGAGGAGCGGGGAGGTACCTTGCTGATTCAAATTAAAAAGGACCCAAGAGTGCCAAATTGAAGGTATTAAAACTAAACTGGGCCATTGGGAAAGTGTAGTGTTCTTCACCTAGCACGTCATTCTAGACTGGATCCTAGGATATGCACAATCATTACAATGTGGGACTGTGGGACCCAGAGTCTCTACTTCGTCATTCAGGGTCAATATTTTCTATTGAAAATATTGACATATTTTCTATTAAAAATATTGACATTACCTCTTTGTTACCAAAGATACAGAGTCCTGTTCAGTTTCTACACATTTCCCAAGTAACTTTCTCAAGTTCTCTTAGTGCCCAAATTTTCAGAGATAACTCAATAAACGAGGTCTCAGAAATAAAGTGCAAAAATCTACATATTAGTAAAGTTATTTCAATAGAATCGTTTACTTTTCAGAAAAGTTATCTTTCCTATAAAGAAGCTACTATACTTAATTGATAGAACCAGTTTTTACCCAGAAATGTAAATAAAATAAATGAACTTCATTTGAAATTTAAGTCAGGTCTTTCTGTTCTGCAGTGAGAAATTCTACCAGCAGTAATTATTCTAAAAATGTGTTAGTATATATCACAAAAAGTTGTTAAAATACATACTGATCTCTGCAGTGTTTTCTGTGTACAATTGGAATGTATAGTAAAAAGGAGGGGAATGTTTTCCCTCGCTGAATTCATAGCTAACAAAGAGGAATGCATATAAGCAAAACTATCACTGAGGCAGATTTTTTTTTCCCTTTCCCTGCTGATAGTGTAATAGTCATAAAGATCGGATTTCTTCCAGATCCCTTAATGCAGTGATTTTCAACCAGTGTGCTGCAAGAAGAATTTTTAAAACATTCAATATCTGACTATTTAGTCAGGGGCACTGGCTTCTTCTCAGATTGTCAAATAAAAAAACGACAACAGCCAATACAACAATAGCCATCTGGTATGAAGGCTCTGTCTTGAACCATAAATACAGTGTCCCCCAAAAATGTATACACACTTGAATAGCTGATAGCTCAATTTTGCAAGGGAGATGTTTATTATAATAAACATTGCCTTTATAATAATCCAAAGTAGGTGTATACATTTTGGGGGGACACCCTATATATAGATCATGTAATAATTAGTTGCACCTTATTGGTCGCATTGCATAATAAGGTTTCATCTGATTGGTTAGTTCTTGGTACCAGAAATCTTTATATAAAAGCAAAAAGGTAGGTAATTATTATTCTTTTTTTTTTGGTAAATCAAAATTATACCTTTTTTTGTCAGATTGGCAAAAAATACAGTTTTTGGTGTGCCACAGAATTTTAATGACTAGTTTATTTGTGCCGCGAGGTGAAAAAGGTTGAAAATCACTGCCTTAATGTATTATAAATGGTCCCCACGTTCCTATTTTACCCCTAAGTGTGAAGTTGGTCATACCCAAGGGTCCAGATGAGTTATAGTATGTTTAAGGTAAGAGTGGGAAGAAATAAGGAGGGCCACCTTTCCATCCAACCTTACAGAATGTTCATTTTAAGAAAGCATTAAAAATTCTAAAATACACTGAATGCTGTGGGCGAGGACCGAATATACACCTGGTAAGAGAAAGGAATTCAGCCTTTACCAATGAATGGTATGGATCCTGCAAGGCAGGACAAGGTTTCAGTGCTTCTCACTTTATATACATGTATACCGTCTCCGTCATTTCACTTGGTACAGCTATCTCTAGTATCTCCTTATTACAACCGCATCAGAGAATGGGGGCAATGCTTTAATGCCGAAGTTTACATTCTGCTGACCTCAGGCAACCTTTTTCTTACAGGGAGTCCACCGTTGTGGACTAATAAAGTAAGATCCAGCAGAACATGGTCTCTTGGCCTTATGTGCTGAGGGCAGTATCTCTGGGAAGTACTACCAACCGCCCAACAATGATTTTTTTCTAAAAAGGCAAGTTGTTGTTTTTTCAATCAGCAATAAAAAAAATTCAGGCAACAGTTTTCCCTTGAGAACATCACTGTCACCCTTTGTTTCATCATTGTTATTTTCAGAGTCAATAGGCCCCTTGGTTAAGTTCCCGCCAACTCAAAAGATGAAGCAGTTCTGACCTAACATCGACCCATAAAATGCCCCTTCCCCTTTGGTGCCACGGCTTGGAATGAAGTCCATGGCCGTGGACTTGTCACACCCCTTCTCCACCTTTGGTACAAACACAATACACCACTTCATAGTTCCACAAAGGAAAAGTAAGGCTTATCAATGTATTAAAAAAACAACCCACGAACAAGGTAAAATGTCTCCATCTTGAACTCTACTTGCCACTGAAAGATCTCCATTCCACAACAGCAACTCCTAGGGTCCCAGGAGTCAATCTGGTAAAGGTGGCCTTGATAAAATAAAACCCCAGTCAATTGTACGAGTGTCCAAACTGTAACCTCCAAACTCTTGAGTGAATGACAAATCGTAAAAAAGAGTTGTAAGTGTCAGAAGCTTTCCGATTTATGAAAGAAGAGACATGATGTGACTGTGGGTTCTAGCTCTAGGGTGGCAGTTAAGGTTTCGTGATATGCACTTCCCTGCTCCCGTTCCCGTTGGTGGTGGTGGTGATGATGTACTGTGTGGGCTGCTGTTGGCTGGTGGTCTGGGGGTCCAGGTCACTGTGCGGAGTTGGCTGGACCTGGACTGCCCCAGAGAGGGCAGAGGCTTGCTTTTCCTCCAGTTCCGGTTGACTTTCTGACA